GGGCCTATGAGCCGAATGCACGGCGCATCCCAGAAATGTCTGACCAGTGCCGATTTGTTTTGCTCTCACAATTTACTTCGATTACTGAGGGTGGGCAATCCCCACTTAGATGTTTTTCATTTGAACTACTGCGATACTATTAAATGACTCGGCACGATGGGTAAACACAAGGGCTTAGGGATGTAATTATAGTGTTTTTTCCTTGAATTGTCTCATTCCATGCAAATCGCATCGAGCGCCTGATCCGTCCTCATTTCCTAGGAGTTCCCTTCCTTCCATCCCTCTTTCGCGGTGCTGTCGCTTAAGTTATTTATGACGCTCACAGCGGATCGTAGTCATGCATGAAGTTGGGTCGCTTAAAAGGAGACGCATGTTCGTCACAGAGGTCATCATCGTCTCAACGAGCTTTTCCTTTTGTCATATAAGACACTCTTGGATGAAAGTCCTATGCCAAGTTGGCAAATTCTGTCTGTAAGGCCTTAAATATTGCATTTACTGTTCCATCCTATTGTTGTCTTTCGTTTATTGACGAGCGTGACGTACAGTTCACGCTGATCATGTGGGCGGAGCCGAACCTACCATTGTGCTTTTTTCTTCGGCACACCTCTCCTCTACGTCGTATTCAAAAGGAGGAGTGCACTAAAGAGGAATGCGCAAGGGAGAGTCTGACTCCGCCCCTACGATCAGCATGGACTGGCTGGAATGAAAGAGCCTGTTGTTAGCAGCAGCTCTCATCTCTACTCACGTAATGATTCCGTCTCCTCTGACATTTGCAGAAATGGGGCTAGGGCAAATGATCCGTGGTTCAACTGCCCCATTATCTTTTTCTGCCTTCGAAGTTGCTTAGATGGTAGTGAGAGGCAGAAACATGGCGCTTGGAGGGGCATTCTGCACTTTTGTTGGTCCTTTTTGTAACTAATGCTAATGCACAAGGTGGCCTGTACAATCTAGCTGAGAACCATCCATTGTTCTTCTCAAATATGTGTAAGTCAGCCCTCACCAATGACCGCTATTCACACGAGCAGAATATGAAAACGGTGGTTCTTTGATAAGCCGAAGGATATTTTAGAGGCACTCTCCACGATAAGCATATGGGCGGAGTCAAGCATACCATTATTTTCGCATCCTAATGTTTTTTTTCATAGTGACTCAAAATTTGCGTTCTTATCTAACCATAAGACGATAAGTAGAGTAGAGCAACAGCGGTGGGCGAGCGTCTGACTCCGCCCACACTCAGCTATTGCGGACAGTAGCTCCAATATAGCAGCTGACATCCCTAATTTCCTCGTTTATCTTGCCTTCGAACTCTCAAAGTTTACTGGAAATTGCTATATTCGTTCCATAATTTTGTTCGTTCTAAACGTACCGAAGAAAAACCCTAGTGCATGCGTTAATCCCTGAATCGTATAAAATCCTCTCTAAATTGAAATATTCAAAGTTCTAATACTCAAGTAGATATCATTTACGGTTCATAGGGTTACCCCTCAGAAGCATTTGCTATGCACGTCGTCAATGCCATTGTCCTCATCACCAACGGAAATGAGAGGATAAAAAGGACAATCGTCGCCCTTTTGAGAAACGTTCGATTTTTATAACGCTGCTTATTGTCACGTTTTTTTTTGCTGACTATGAGCTGCTTTTTGAGCGGACAGATCGGCTTGGTGGGACCCAGATAGGCGAAAGTGGCAAAGTTGGCGTTCCTGTGCCGAATAGCGTCCTCTTTTCACTACTTTCATGAATCTTACGCAAATAGGCTTTCTTGCATCCTTGTTGACATAATTACTTATTTACTCATTTTCAACTTGTTCTATCATGATGACTGCTAATTATCCGCAGTGGCGGTCCCAAAGTAACCCAATTTTGGGCAAAATTTTCGGCTCTAACAGGGTTTCGTACTCGCTTCCAACGCATGTGCTCCGACCTTTAGCCCCTCTGAAAGAAAGGCGCCTCTGCTGTCCCAGCTATAACTGGTTTTCAACACTGTTGCTTAGAGGGGCATTTTGCACATTGGCGAAGGTCAGACCTGTAAATTCCTGTGAAGCTGCAAAATTGACACGAGTGAGCCATTTATGACAGTAATTCACAAGTTCACAAGTGGGCCTGTAAAAACTTAGCTGCGCACCACACAGTGCCCCCACTCCGCCAACTGCTCCGTCTACTGTCTTATTCATTTTTTTATTCGTTTTTATTTTGGTTTTGAATGGTTTTGTTGTGCCGTCTGCTTCATCTTTTTCCTCCCTCCGTCCGGATCCCCTCTTAAAATCTCCCTAAACCTATTCTGAAGCAAGGCTGACTAGATGGTCGCGTTCCATTGTAGCGCTTTCGTGCTAAATCAGGTGCTGGTGCGAATGAGGCACACGCGAACTACTTACAACATTGTTTTTACTGCGTCGCCACAACTAGGATCTCCTGACCGCCACACTTGACCGTTTCTGACATTTTCGGGGTCAGTGAGGCTGCTTTTCTGACGAGAACGCTTCAGTTCACATTTTGATGTCCGAATTTCCGCTGGTGAGGAGGAGTTTTCTGTTTTCCAGTTTTCGCTCTCCACCTTTGAAAAATATTCCTGCTTAACTAAGGCATTCCAAAAAGAAGCCCAGAATATATGGGATTTGAAGACACGTTAGAAGGAACCCTGCTGAAGTCAAATCAGCGCACACGTCATTTCCAGGGGCTTGCTGAGATAATGGGCTCCGACGACTTCAAGTGCAGACGTTCCACTTAGTGGCATACCCCTCTTTCCGCAAATTCGCTCGTCGTCAATAGACTAAAACGCCATTTTGACTAGTTTTTCCTGAACGCTTTCAATCAGCTGTGAGCCCTCAGTCAAGCATCGAAGTCCGTAATTTCGAACCTTTTTTGATATATGGCTCTCCTGATGCCTCAGACTATGAAGGGAGGGACCGTCAGATGAGATCTCTCACTCTCGAGAAACGGAACGTGACCTGCACAGCTTATGGTGCAATTGGTGATTCCCTCTCTCCCTGCCCAACACTTCTCCCAACACTTCCCCGATGCCTCGAGGGGAATCCTCTTCAGTAATTTCGCCAAGTACCTTTATTTTTTTTCGAGAAACAGCTGGAAAACTCACAGTGTGTAGGGCCTTGGGAGGAGGGGGGGGGAGCAGGGAATCGTCAACTACACCAGAAGCGGTGCACGTCTCTATCGTTGTCAAATTTTTCCACATCGACTGAGACCCTAGTGAATCATATACGACCCCTGTCCTTTATCCAAAATTTGCCGGCTTGTTGATCGGCTCATCCAATTTTACGTACCTCCTGAGTCCTCCACTTACCGGCTATACTCAGTGTTTGCCTATGTTTGAAGCAAAATACGTTACTATTACCCTCAAGTTCCGTAGATGATTATTAGGCGCTATTGGCTTGGGAGAGGCAATTTGCATTTCCGCTAGTTCCTTTTGCTACTTCTGTCAACTAATATGTCTCACTTTGGTGAGACCTGCAGGCTCGTAGGTATCTGGTAGAACTGAGTCACTTCGTTTACGAGAGTCTACAGGCTATCACAAGATATCCTGTGCAGGCTTTGATTGGTACCATTCGGTGCCCCCACCAAGCTAAACTGCGCCAATTGCTCCCCTCAATGGCTAGTTTTTGAATGTAATGTGTGCTTATAATCTCACTCACAATGGAATTCGAGTAAGCATACCTCTTTACTCTTTCGATGGGTGAAATCCTTTGGAGGCGGCCCAGTGCAGAGGATACTCCACTTCGCGGCTCGAAGGTTCGTGATGACGCTGCCAATCAGCCTAGCGACCACACCCACCAAAAGCGGTCACACCCAGGATTGAAAGGCTTTTCGATCGTGTTTGTCGTCGCCTATCGTGTCACTCTTCTACTTGTCCTCTCATCCCATCTTTGCCATTTATTCCTCACCAGCGTTCCCGGTCACTCTGGCTTTCCTTCTTTTACCTCCCCCCTACCTCTCACCAAAACACTCCGTGTAACCAATTTCTCCAATGCCATGCAATTTATCGATGACATGAATAGGTATCGATTATATCGATATCCGTCTTCGAAATTCGAAAGTCTCGACACGTTCGGTTGAGCGCACCCTAGCAACTTTTCTTGAGCATTTCTACTACTTCTGCTACTTCGATACTTTCAACTAGGCAGTGGAAGATGAGGGGGAGGGGGCGTTAAATTAGTTGAAAAGTAAGCTCGTTCGCCATACCAGGAAATCGGGCTCACTCGAGCTTACTGGTAAGCCCGGATCAAACATGTTTTTCGAGTTTAATTGGACGATGAAGAAGCAAAAGTCCGTTCCGACATCCTTGGGTGAATCCTTTCGGCTGTT